GTATTTTTTTTTTTTTTTTTTTTTTTTTTTTTTTTTTTTTTTTTTTTTTGGCACTGGGAATTGAACTCAGATCCTTGCGCTTGTGAAGCAGGTGGCAGAACCTCTGAGACAAATCCCTGGCCCCCAATTTTTTTGTTTTCTTTTGTTTTTTGGTACCAGGGGTTGAACTCAGGACCTTGCGCTTGTGAGGCAGGCAGTGCAACCACTGAGCTAAATCCTTGTCCTTCCAAAAAGATTCTTACAGGAAAGAAACAGACAAATAATAGCACAGATTTTTCTTTTCAACTTCTTTATCTCCTACATCCAAGTGCTATCTCAGGCACTGGTTGGGGTGATCCTAAGCTAAGAAGTTGGCTCCTTTCATGTTTTGCCAGTTTATACAGTATGTCTAATTATTTCAGACAACTGCAAAATGTGATAAGGAAAGGAAGATGATTTTTTGTTATTTTTATTAGTATTGACAGGCATTAAAAATTATTTAGCTTTTCAATTTTATATATTTTCATTTTTTGCTCATTTAAATTTTAGAATTTAGCACCAAGTGCTACACTAATAGGTTTCATTTAACCAAAAGGCTGTATAGAGATATATATGTACATATTTAAGGATTCTTTTGTACTTTTATAGTTGGAAATAACTTAATGTCCAAGAAGAAGTTAAATTATGGTACATGAGTCTGTGTGATACCCTTCAGTGGTGGTCAACTCAATGGCATATGTGCTGCAGTGGGCTGTTTATCATTGGAAGCCATCACTGACATACTGTAAAACTATGAATTTCATGTTGTATTAACATACTTGATAAGTATAAAAGCTTATGCCATCTTAGAACAGAAGACTGTAAAATTACATATGAGTCTGTTCCCTGACTTCTTTTTGCGGGGTACTGGGTGGGGATTGAACTCAGGCCCTTGTGCTTATGAGGCAGGTGGCAGAACCACTGAGACAAATCCCTGGCCCCCAATTTTTTGTTTTTTTTGTTTTGTTTTTTGGTACTGGGAATTGAACTCAGAATTGTGAGGCAGGTGATAGAACCATTGAGCTAAATCCCCAGCCCCATGACTTCATTTTTAAAAAGGAAGAAATCTATATTAAAAAGAAAATGAAAATTGTCCAGAATTCTAATTGTAATTATTTCTAGTTGATTAAATCTTGGTGATCAATGATATTTTTCTTTAAAGTGTTTTATACCTAAATATCTATCTATCTATCAATAGTTTTTGGTACCAGAGATCAAACTCGGGTCCTTGCACTTGTGAAGCAGGCAGCGACACCATTGAGCTAAATCCTGGCCCTACATAAATATATTTTTATAAGTTGTATTTCTTCTATTTTATGAGAGGAAAAGATTATTTTCTGTAATCCTTAGGTTGAAAACACTTTAGTGTGATACTTATTTTAAAGTACTAAGAAACTAACAAAAATCATGTCATGCGAGTTAATTTCTGACGTCTTTGCTTTAGGTTTGGAGCTGTATGGGATGTTTCTGTATATTTCACATGCCCTGTATCCAGAAGTGGGCTAAAGATAGCCAGTTTCTTCTTTCTTCTCTGATGGATGATGATTTTGGAACGAGAGATTATCCTTGGCCTTGGTAACTGTTTCATATTGGTTGGATTTTAAGTTGCAGAATACATGAAAATTGTAGAACGTTAAGTTGCGTCATTGAAAGTTTCAATTTTATCCTTCAATTAGTCGTTTGGGTTATGAAGACCTGTTGTTTTCCTTCAATTTGTGTAAATAGTATGATAGCAAATCATTCAGAATTTATTTTTTCTATCAAAACAACTTTGAAGTTTTTGAAGGACTTTTCATTTCTGTGGAACTGAGAGTCATTTATAATTTGGTACTTCTCTTCTGAAATTCCTCTTAGTGTACATAGTATCACATTTTATGAGATTGTCATCTGGCATTTTAGCCATAGGCTTTTCGATTTTATCCTTGAAATCTCAAAATTGCAAGTTTGTATTATTTGATATGATTAATTTTTCTACATTTATTTTATAAATTTTACTTATTTTTGATTATTTGATCTTCAACTTTTGTTATGTTTTGAGAAAGAGTTGAAAAGTGGAAGGAAATTCTCTATATCTCTGCTAATAATATCGAGGTAATAAAACATAAGCTCAGGGGTTCTGTGTGTTCACAGTTTCTGACTTTTGTGACTAATTGTCTGTTTATAATTTTGTGTTCTATTTTTAACAGATACCCCAAATTGTGTAAATTTGGTCTTCACAAAACCTGGACCTACATCAGACCTCCCTTTGTTATTGTACTACTGATATATTTGTAAAATTGTGGTGCTGTAGTTTTCAAAAAATATTTTAGACGTAGGAATCACTTTTTCAGAATAACTCTGGGCAATCAGAGATTTTATTTCCCTATTATCAGTGATGATGGTGAATGGTTTCAGATTCCTTGTAAGTAGTGGAATAAGAATTTGAAACCTAGAATTTCTGACCTCTAAACTTAGTGCTTTGTCTATTTTTCTAAGTGAATTTTGTCTTACAGTATTACCTTTAGAGTTATTTGTATTTTCTTCATTGAGTACACATGTCTTTGAAGCAGTTTAAAATTTCAAAGTCTATGTTTGCTCCTGTAAATAATGTACTTTGTGGTAATTTAGTATTTAATAGGTGCCAAATTAAAGAAGATATTCTAATTTGTTAAGTTTTGGAGTTTTAATCTTTACATGTATTTTTTCTTTTCACCTGTACTCTTCTCATTTTATTTTATGTAGTATTTTGCTATAGGAGAGGAAAGTACCAGTTAAGAGAACAATGAATTTCTGCAGCTTTTCTAAATCTATAAGGAATGAAACTTTAATCAACCATGCAGTGTCCTATACCCTCCATATGTCACAGTTTTTAAAAAGAAAAGTTTGTGCTGGTTGAGAATTCGTTTTGTTTAACTCTTACCAAGATGGAGCTAGAACTTGGTAAAAATGTTGATAGTTTAAAATTAGTTGTTTTATGGCAATAAAAAAATTTAAAATGTTCATTTCTACTCAAATATTGCCTCTTACTGAACAAGATATAGATAGCATCATTACATTTCATTACTGATGTTCCATTTCTTGAAATAGACCTCATGCATTTGCTCTCACTGAAATAGTTCTGCCTCAGTGCTGAATGGCCAGGATTGTGGTGAGTTGCATGTTAGCTGTCCACGTTCAAGCTTATTAAAAGTACACACGCACACATACACACATGCACATGCACACACAAAGTACACACCTTTACATAGCTGAAAGCAATGGTGGAAGTTTTTCTTTTAGTAAAGAGTAATTTAGCTCCTTCAACAAAATACCAGTTATCCATAACAGATCCATAACAGACATATTTTGTTTTTTACTTTTTGTCATTTTGTTTTTGTTTTTTGGGTACCGGGGATTGAACTCAGGTCCTTGCACTTGCAAGGCAGTCCACTGAACCGCTGAGCTAAATCCCCTGGCCACCTTTTGTCATTTTGAACATTTATGTGGTATTTATTTGTAAAGAACTTGTTCTCATGACAATGAAAGCAGTTGTTTTTGATACAGAAGAAATTAAAGTGATTATGTAAAACGTCCTAGTGTAATATATTAACTGTACTCAGTTATTCAGGAAATAGTAAGGCTTAGACTATCTTGGACTGAAGTGTCCATGATGATCCACAATTGAATTTTTAGTAGAGCTAGAGGTTGACATTTTTAGTGCCAAAATTTACTTATTTTAACGTAGCTTGCAAATCTTTCTGTTTTAGCACAGAATATGAAGTGATGTTTGAATTTTTCTTTGAGTTTGGCACATTTGTAACACACATTTGTAATACAGGTATTTTGTATTAGCTGTTGAAAATTACAAGATTCCTTGTTTATTTTCAAGTTTTCTCTTCTATTCTAGATGTAACCTGTCTCTGCTTTGCTGTTTGCTGATGTTAACTTGAACTTTGTAAAAATCTAGATGAATAACTCAAGAATAGAGTTTTATGTAATTAGTAGAAAGCTACTGTTATTTTATTTTTGTAGCTGTATTCTAGATATGTATGTTTAATGCATGCAACTACCCACATGTAGCTATTTAGGTTTCTAAATATTATAAGTTAAAAATTCTGATCTTTGCTGCATTGTATGTATTGGCCACATCTCAAGTGTCATATGTAGCTAGTGGCTACTGTACTGAACAGTGCAGGTATAAAACAATCCCAGCATCTCAGGGAATTATATTGTACAGAGATGTATTAGATGGTTAAACAGATAAAAGCTTGGTTTTTATTTACTAATGTAAAAATGGAAATGAATCAAGTCTGTTAGTAAAAATGTTTATATTACTATCTCCTGTGTTGCTTTTAAAGATGAAATTAACTTCAATAATTTCATTTGTTTTGGTTTAGTCCGAAGTGTAGGTTTGAATACAAACGGTCAGAAACGCCTAGTAGGTACTATTGCTATTGTGGAAAAGTAGAAGATCCACCTTTAGATCCATGGCTTGTGCCTCACTCATGTGGTCAAGTATGTGAGAGAGAGTTTAAACCACCTTGTGGCCATAAGTGTTTACTCCTCTGTCATCCAGGTGAGTTACATACTCTATTCTTAGTTGTTTGTGCGTGGTTATTTCTTCTGATGTTGAGGTTAAAAAAATTGTGAATGTTGAATTGAGAACTGAAATTTGCCATGAGAGCATGTTGAAAGTGATTGCCTTTTAAAGTATCAATAAAGTTTTAGAAATTACTTATAAGTATAGGAAGTAAAACTTTGCATTTCTTCTGATTTTCTTCTTTATTGCATTCTAGGTCCTTGCCCGCCTTGTCCAAAAATGGTCACAACTACTTGTTACTGTAAGAAAGCAAAACCCATCCCTCGTAGATGTAGTGCCAAGGAATGGTCCTGCCAGCAGTTATGTGGGCGAAAGTTGCTTTGTGGGCAACATAAGTGTGAAAATCCTTGTCATGCAGGTAAAAGGCAGTACCTGTTAGGTATTCTGACTTTAAGCAAAAGTCAAAGCAAACAGTTTTTATTGTTTTTATGATGTTTTTGTGCTAATTTATCATTTTGATTTTAGGAAGTTGTCAACCTTGTCCAAGGGTGAGTAGACAAAAATGTGTCTGTGGCAAGAAAGTAGCTGAAAGAAGCTGTGCAAGTCCATTGTGGCACTGTGATCAAGTAAGTGTGTGTGCATTTTCAGGGGTGTATTAGCAGTGTAGGAAGCATAAACTACTAGAAGACAGAAATACTAATTAGGTTTAGCTGAATAAAAGTTAGGCAACTCAGCTGAACTAATCATGTATTAGGCAGTTATTTTTCAATTTAATATTTTAATTATTGAAAAGGCGTTGTTGAAGTTATAGCTACCTGTTTTTAATTTTGAGTTGTATACATTTTTACTTTTTACTCTTTTTTGTTAGTTCTCCCACCCTAACTCTTTCCCTTTTTGATCCAGCACTTTTCCTCCTCCTTGAGTCAGTTCCATTAAGGAAGTAGGGCTGATAACTATAGTTTGCTGGTCTTCACTCATGTGGCCAAGTATGTGAGAGGGTATTCAGACCACCTTGGGGCCATCACTGTTTCCTGCTCCATCATGATTAACATGGTTTTAGTACTGTTTGAATGAAGGGCCATGTAAAGCTATATGTACTTCTTGCTTTGTTATATTTTTAAAATATTCTCTTTGGTACATAGGAAATGTGTGTGTGTGTACATATGTATGTGTATACATATACAACACCTACATAAGATGTAAAGAAATTATTTGATTGAAAATGGATTACATTTTGTACAGAATCTTTTGTTAAATTTTAAATCTTTCACTAGTGCTTATATTATTTCAGGTATGTGGAAAAACACTGCCCTGTGGTAATCATACTTGTGAACAAGTTTGCCATGTTGGTAGTTGTGGAGAATGTCCTCGATCTGGGAAAAGGTTCTGTCCATGTCAGAAATCAAGTAAGACTTTCTTTTATGGAAGTGAATTATGAAGCCATAAAGACACATGGAAGAAACATGCATGCATATTACTAAGTGAGACAAATTAATCTGAAAAAGCTAGGTACTGTAGGACTCCAAATATATGACATTCTGAAAAAATCACAACTATGGAGATAGTTAAAAGATCTGCAATTGTCCGGGTTTAGGAAGAGGAAGAGATGAATACGCAGAGCATAGAGGATTTTTTAGGGTACAAAATGTAGTATGCATGGTACAACAATGGTGGATTTATCTTATACATTTATCCAGACCCATCAGGTACACAACCCAGAGAGTGAACCTAATGTAAGTCATGATCTTTGGTTGATGATGATGTATCATTGTATATCATTTGTTATCAGGAATAACAAATACACAATTCTGATCCGGGGGATATGGATAATGGCGGAGGCTGTGCTATTATCATTGTTGTGAATGAGGTTATAGGTGAAATTTATTTTTGGCTGCTATGAGATAATACAATAATTGGGTTTTAGTTTGAATTAGCTTCCTTGACTCTCCACCTATAACACTCATATTTTTAAGATTATTTCTAGTACAGTACTTGTCATAGTAAGTTTGCTAAAGGTGAGTTTTATAATATTCTAAAGTTTCTATTTTCTTTTCTACATCCTGTGAGGTTAAGAGCAAATTAAAAAAGAATAATTGTGGAAATTCATGAGTTGTACATAATCTTCTTTAGATAACTATTTTTGAATAGCCCATAAAAATATTTCTTGAGCATGGTAACTTGTCATTTGCCAAATTTCTTTTTTAAAAAGCATAACCTTTACAAATACTAGGGGTTATTTTCATTAAAGGTAATTTTTTCCAGTAATTACGTGGTCAAATCTTTGTAGTTTGAAAGGGCTGTCATTGCTCAGGGAGTTTAAAGAATACAACAGTTTGTTAGGCTTAATAATAATAATGTGTCTTATTAACATTGATATTTTGTTTTCTTTTAGAGTTTTCTTTGCCCTGTACAGAAGATGTACCAACTTGTGGAGATAGTTGTGACAAAGTTCTGGAGTGTGGAATCCATAGATGCTCACAGCGTTGTCACCGAGGTCCTTGTGAAATATGTAGACAAGTTAGTAATCTCCTATAATAATTATGCTTTCAAGAGCTAACTATTGTAATTTATCCATAAGATTGTCCTGTTACTGTTTTTCATTACTCAGTTTCAAATAAATCTGTGTCATAATATGTATGAGTTTTGTGACCTAAATTTATGATAAGAAGCAGTAGAGTATGCCAGAAGTCATATTACCTTATATTACCTGAATATTACCTTTTTGTTTGTTTTTGCTTCGTAAAACTTTTAATATTTTAATCTTTGTACAGTGTGGGGTTGTTTGCTCCATGAAGTCATTCAGAGCAGTGATGGAAAGAAACAGAAATAAAGTAATATCATTTTGTACCTTAGTACAAGGTTACCAGTTTAGCTTACTAGATAATCCAGTTTACTTTCTGTAACTGTGACAAGGATATTATGATTGTAATTCAATGTAGGTGATTTTAATATGTAGTTTTTTTTTTAACTACTTAATGTCAGATTTCCATTAAATTTAGTAATTAAGTTGTATGAAGTATTTTTTAGAACAAAGTAAGATAAAATATTTTAGGAGATTTGGTTTTGGTAGTCTTTCATATTGTTTGCTATTAAGATTTTTGTCCAGGATGATTTAGTAATTACAGAAATTACACTGTGAGAAAAAAAAAATATTTAAAAACCTCAGTTTTAATACCATTCAATTATTCCAGGAGGTGGAAAAGCTTTGTCGCTGTGGAAAGCATACAAAACGAATGTCATGTCATAAACCTTATCTGTGTGAAACTAAATGTGTTAAGATGCGTGACTGTCAGAAGCATCAGTGCAGGAGAAAGGTACATGTAACAAGCTTGGGAGACTAAATTGTTTTGAAATTTTTCTTTTAGGACTGTGATAAGCACTGCCTTGATTTGGTCTTTGAATGTTCATTCATATTTACTTTCCATATAAAATATGAACAGATATTCTAGATTAATTTTCTTTTAATTGTGGAAAATTGTACTCACTTTTTAAATGACAAGGGTCTTGCTTATTTCCACAGTCCTCTCAACTTTGTTCTAGGGTTTAAAACATCTGTGGCTTATTAGAGTGATACTTCAATTGGTGGTTAGAGACTTAACTTCTGTTATTATTGATACTTGACTCAGTACTGATTTGGAGTATTTTATTGAGTTTGCAGATTTGTAATTCTTTTTTTTTTTTTATTTTTTGAGACAGGGTCTCATTATGTAGTTGAGACTGACCTGGAACTCACTATGCAGCCCAGGGTGGTCTTGAACTCACAGCATCCTCCTGCTGCATCCTCTTAAGTGCTAGGATTATAGGCGTGCGCCACCACGCCCGGCTTTGCAGACTTGTAATTCTTTTGAGTTCCTTTTCTCATTGTGAAATATAATTTTTTCTCTGGTAAATTCCTTGCCCAAAGTTATGAAAATATAATGATAAGTTGGGCTTGCTTTTGCGTAGAATTAGCATGATTGTATTTTTTCATTTTTCTGGGTTTTAAAGTTTATTTTTATAGATAACATTTAGGTTTTGTTTTATCCAAATTGACAATCTTCGTCATTTAATTTTGCTAGACCATGTACATTTATACATTTAATGTGAACTTTAGTACGGCTGAATTTAAGTGTAACATCTTGTTATTCATCCTTCTGTTCTTTTTCTTTTTAACCTTCAAGTGCTGTTTTTCAGTGATTTCATGTTCTCTTTTACTTTTGCTTCTTAGCTGTAACCTTTTTTTCTTTCTTTTGAGTAGCTGTTTTAGGCTTTTTATGAAGTTCTTTTTTTGCATTTTTGAGACAGGGTATCACTATGTAGTTGAGACTGGCCTGGAACTCACTAGCCCTGGCTGGTCTTGAACTCACAGCGATCCTCCTGCCTCAGCCTCCCGAGTGCTGGGATTACAGGTGTGCGCCACCATGCCTGGCCCTAACAATATTTTGTGTTTTT